TTAACTTTCTGAGCAGTTTTGTGAACTGGTTGTTGGAAGAAGTCATTAGAGCAGAGAACCGGATGGATCCCACCACTGGCTGCTTCTGCCTTTGGGTCTCCAGAGGCAGCCCGCCAGTCACCAAGTGAAGCACCCAATGGGAACGTAAGAGAGAGGCCAGGCCCCCTCCCTGCCCCTCTGTACCACAAACTGGGTAGTGGGGTGGTGGCACAGACGGCACCCACAAGCTGTGGACATCTGAAGGGGTACAAGGGCAGCACTCCTTCCCTGCCAACCCGCGATCTGGGTCAGAACGAAGGGCAACAGAGGTGTGGGTGGGCTGGGCTGCGGGGGGCACGGTGGGTCTGGTCTCCCCCCTTTCCTATCCCTCCCTCTCTGGGGTTGTTGGCCAGGGAGGGGAGCGCTACCTCCTGCAGGCAGGTGGCACTGCCTCCCGCATCCAGTCTCACAGCAGCGCTGGGCTCCCGGGCAACTGTCGTCCGAGGAACAGTACCGGCCACAAGTCTTGTCCGGGAAGGCTGAGGGGGGCGGACAGGAGCCAGGCCTGACTGGACCTGCAAGTGGAGGAGAAGGAGAAGGAGGCTGGGTGGATCTCCCTTCCCCCGATCCGCTTGGACCTTTGGGAGAGTCCCTGACAAGAGCCACCCTTGGCACAAGTGACAGTCACCCCCTCCTCCTCTTCCTCTCCCTCTCCCTCTCCTTCCTCCTCTTCCCCTTCCTCCTCCTCCTCCTCTTCTTCCTCCTTCTTCTCCCCACTTCTTCCTCCCCTCCTCCTCTTCCTCTTCCCCCTCTTCTTTCCCACTCCTCCTCCTGCCCTTCTCCTCTTCTTTCTCCTTCTTCCTCCCCTCCTCCCCTTCCTCTTCAATCTCTTCTTCCTCCCCCTTCCTTTCCTTCTTCCTTCTTTCCCTTCTCCTCTTCCTCCTCCCGATGCCCTGCCCCTCCTCCCCTTTCTTTTCTTCCTCCTTCTCCCCCTCCCCTCCCCTTTCCCCCTTCCCCCACAGCTGAGGGTGGGACTGGGGAGGTGGGGAGTCCAAACTCCTGAGGGGAGGACCAGCACTGCAGCCAGAGAACGCAGAGATACACCAATCGTTCGAGGAAGGGAGGGATTTGGAAATGGTGCGTGTGTGTCCGTGTGCAGCAAAAGAGACTTGCTCACTCCTCCCCCAATTATATTTCCCTCCCCAGGATTAATCAAGGAAATTGAGCAGCACACACCTGCCCCTCAGCTTGATAAAGTTGAGAGCACCAGCGTGCCCATTATCCCTTCCAACTGGTCCCATTTATTCGTACTTATTTATTATGTATATACTTATACCTGTTTATACTTATATGTTGACATGCTCTGTCCATACTTTTCTTTTCTCACACAAGCTAAACTAAATAAATAAATTTAAAAAAAGAACTGCAAATAGGCAAAAAAATTTAAATGTTCTCTCCAATTTTCACCCGCTGGCAAACTGGCACCTCAAACTCGACGGTGATGGTCTTCTGACCAAGGGAGCACTGACACCCCACACCCCAGTGGTGCCCCCTTCCACAGTTGAAAGCCAGGCAGCAGGGGTGGGATTCTACCAGGTCGCACCAGTTCTATAGAACCGGTTATTACAATTCTGCGCGGTTCGGAGAACCTGCAAATCGCACCATTGGCTGGCCCCGCTTGCAAGCAAATTTTACGTGACAAACTCAGGCGGCAGATTGCAGAAAGGTAGATCTCTGAGTGAATCTGTGATTCTGGGAGCAACTCGACCTGCTTGCCTGCTTTGCCTGATTTTGGGGTAAAAGTTGCTCTTTTTTTAATTTAAAAAAAATCAATATTTACATAAATATTTACAATATTTGCCACGCCCAGCCAGTCATGTGACCACCAAGCCACACCCACAGAACCGGTTGTTAAGAAATTTGAATCCCATCCCAGGATTGTCCACTTGGCTTCCCAGCATCCAACGAGACCCGGCCAGGCATAACCCCAAATCTTGGCCATTCTTTGAGGAATGAGTGGGGAGGGGGATCTTACCTGAGGGGGAACAGGCCCGCTCGCAGCCCCCCTGTGTCAAGAAGTTGTTCAAATTCCCTCCGCATCCTCCATAGTCGAACTCCACACACTGCCTCAGCTCCGAGTCATAATACCAACGCTTTAGCAGGGCAAGACATGAGCCGGAGACGGGAGGAAGGCTGCAAATATTTGGGAGCAAAGAAGGGAATGGACCCACACCTGCGAAAGCCAAATAACAGAAGGATAGTTTTGGAAGGGACCCCCCCGAGGTCTTCTAGTCCAGCCCCCTGCTCATGCATCATTTCAGGCCTGTCCTTTCCCCCAAAGGCAAGCGGCATCTGCCTCGGCCCACAACTCTTTGGGTCACACACCCGTGGTGGGGAGGCTGCCTGTGTCCAACCTTATTTGAACATTAGAATGGATAGATTTGTAAGGGACTTTGGAGGTCTTCTAGTCCAACCACCTGCTCAAGCAGGGGATCTTATTCTGGACAAGGGGCAGTCCAGTCTCTTTTTGGAGGTCTTTAGTGATGGAGCACGGAAGGTTGGAAGGTCGCAAAAGGGGATCCCATGACCCCAGGCTTTGCCACCATCATAAATATGAACCAGGGGTCATGTGATGACCCAAAGGGGCGTGGCACAAAGGCAACACAGTCAGATAATCAGTAGGAGTCCCTTTATTAGCTCCAACTTTGCCCCCAATGTCCTGGTTACTTTCTGGGCTGGAGAAAAACTCTCCCAGGAACAGCCTTTGGCTGCAGGGAATCAAGCCCAAAACATGGTCAACAAAATCTGTAACTATAAGTCCAATCAAGGCAAGATGAGGTAATTAGTTTGACAGGGCAGGAGCAAGAAGTCCAGATGTGAAGGAACAGCAGTAATTCAGCGAGGACGCCAGGAATGCAGATAAGCAAAGTCAACACAAGATAAACTCAGGTTTGTTCCCAGCAGCTGCCGCACTCTGCATGCATCTCTTTTAAACTCTCATTCCCAGGTGTGGATAATGAAGGGAATCAGGACCGTTTCCTCCCCTGTAAGCCAGGCAACCCACATTGCTCCTTTCTGCATTCCTCCCTAGGATGAAGAAGGGGTGGGCCTGGGTCTTCCTCTGAACTCCCTCTCCCTTGTTCTACCTCTCCCCTGCTCTGCCCAGCCGGACTTTGCCCTTCCCCAGTTTCCTCCACAGCCAACGGAGCCACACTCCCGCTCCCTGTCCGCTGCTCGTCTTCCTCCTCGGATTCAGACTCTGATAGGGGCCTGACAGGTCAAGCACCTGAATTTTGATCATGTGACCCTGGGGATGCTGCAACGGTCATAAGTCGTAGCCAAGGCAGATAAACGTATCTCGAGGCAGATAAATGGAAGCTCATCTCGGTCCCCACAATGGAGGAATAGCTGCAAAAATTGATGGAGTTAGCAGAGCTACATCGGTCCAAGAAAAAAATAATAATACTTTTATTTGTACTTGGAAATCGCTTCTGGACTTTGTGTGCAAGATGGGGAAAAATGAATTTGGGTTGATTTTGGGTTTTGCCAATATTAGAAAGATTGGTTGTTATAGAAATGGCTCATTTATACTACTACATAAAAGTATAAAGTTGAGGTTTGATGCCAATGTCTTATTTTACTGCATCAAAGAGAGTCGCAAGTCAATGCCTTTTTTCCCCTTTATTCTTTTCTCTTTCGCTCCCTTTTTCCCTTCCATATTTTCCCCACTTTTGTGTTTTCTTTCTATGCCACATTAAGGTAAAAGATAAAGGTTCCCCTTGCGGATACATGCTAGTTGTTTCTGGCTCTAGGGGATGGTGCTCATCCCTGTTACAAAGCCGAAGAAGAGCCAGCGCTGTCAGAAGACGTCTCCGTGGTCATGTGACTGGCAGAACTAAACGCCTTCGGAGGCGCACGTAGCGCTGTTCCCTTCCCACCAAAGGGATCCCTATTTTTCTACTTGCATTTTTATTACACGCTTTCGAGCTGCTAGGTTGGCAAAATCTTGGACAAGGAACGGGGAGCTCACTCCGTGATGAGGCGCTGGGGATTCGAACTGCTGAACTGCCAACCTTTCTGATAGACAAGCTCAGCATGGAAACTGACCAAGGAGAGATTCAACCTGGAAATAAGGAGAAACTTTCTGACAGTGAGAACCATCAACCCACGGAACAAAAGTTGCCCTCGGAAGTTGTGGGAGTGTCATCGCTTGAGACATTCAAAGAGATTGGACTGCCATTTGTCAGAAATGGTGTAGGGTTCCCGCTTGGGTGTGGGGGGATGGACTAGATGACCTGCAAGGTCCCTTCCAACTCTATTATTATTCTGTTATTCAGAAGTTGTGGGAGCTTCATCCCTGGAGGCTTTCAAGAAGAGACTGGGCTGCCCTCTGTCAGAAATAGTATAGGGTCTCCTGCTTAGGCAGGGGGTTAGACTAGATGACCTACAAGGTCCCTTCCAACTCTGATTATCTGTATCTGTACCTGTATCTTTCTGGACAAATGGTTGTCCAGTCTCTTCTAGAAAAACCTCCAGGGTTGAAGCATCCACATTCTTGAGGCATGCTGTTCCACTGGTTAATTTTATTTATTTATTTTTGTCAATTGCTTACAAGATAACAGGTATAAATAAAAACATAGTTATGAATACATGGATACATGTAAGAAAAATAAAAGAAACAATAGGACAGGGACGGTAGGCACGTTGGTGCACTTATGCACGTCCCCTACAGACCTCTTAGGAAAGGGGTGAGGTCAATAGTAGACAGTCTAAGGTGAAAGTTTTTGGGGTTTGGGGAAGAAACCACAGAGCCAGGTAGAGGATTCCACACACTGACCCCTCTGTTGCTGAAGTCGTATTTCCTGCAATCAAGTTTGGTGCGATTAACCTTGAGTTTGTATCTATTGTCTGCTCTTGTGTTGTTATGGTTGAAGCTGAAGTATTCATTGACCGGTAGGACATTGCAATGTATGATTTTATATACCATACTTAGTGGTGTAGTTCTAGGGGTTCTAGGTGTAGAATTTCGCGTCTGGTGGCATAAGGTCTTCTGCAACTTGCTTTCACTCCTGAGAAATTCCCCCTTAGATTAGATCGTTCTTTAATGAGATATTGTCTTCCTGCCACTTAAGTACTTCAGGAATTTACTCAATTTGCATGATTTATTTATTCCCCGGGGTTTCGTTTTTTGCTCTGATCAGAAGAGGTTTGGAGCAGCTTGCAAAAGTCACCCCCCTTCCCGAAAAGGATCAAAAAAACAATGCAAAAAGCAAAACAGTGAAACTGCAAGATCACATCGCCTATTTGCAACCCACAAACTTTGGGCCGTACGGTGTCTGCGGTGAGGGGTTGCTCATCCCAGCGGTCAGTGCCAGGACAAGCGGAAGGTTCCTGCAGCCACAGGACGCTCAGGGCTGAAGCTGACAGCCCGAGAACCTGGATCCAAGCTGCAGAAGAGGGAAGGGTGTTACTCTGGGATGCCCTCTCCCGATTTGGTAATGGAACATCTGCAGGAAAATATCTATGGAGGTTCTCACTCCTCCGAGTCATGGTTATCTCAAGGTGCTTTTTTATAAAGGCAACTGGATTTGGTTTTTATCCTTGAGGACGTTTTGCGAGGAGGAGCTGGAGGAGCTGAAGAAGCTTCTTGGAGGAGAAGTGAAACATCTTCAAAGGAAGAAAAAACAAACAAACTACAAAGCCCAGTCCAGTTGCCTTTTGAAAAAACACCTTTGGGTCTGTTGGAAAACCACCCAGCTCAAGAAAAGCTTACAAACCCCTTGCATCCTTACTCACCTAAGGGAAACTTGATAGTTCCCATGGGGAGGGTGATGGGGAACAGAGCACAGCCCGTGGAGAGGAAGAAGAGGAAGAGGAAGAGGAAGAAGAGCGGGAGGCCCAAAGGTCCCATGGTGTCCTCAAGGCTCGATTCTCTCTGTCCCTCAATCCCAGCTGGCTTTTTATATCCCGGACCTCTCCAGCTTCTAAGGTGACTTTTCCACACTCCAGCCCAGCCCAGCCCAGCCCAAACAATCACGCTGCAGCGGGGGGGGGGGGGGGGGGGAAGGGGGGGGGGGGGAAGAGGGAGAAGGATCCTTGGGAGAAGAACCAGGACGTGGCTTGGGTGGAAAGGAGGAGAGGTTGACGTTGACACTCGTGGGGGCAAGGAAGAAAGTCTTCTGGCTGTGCTTCCAGTCCCCGACAAGATGCCCCGGGCAGGAGGGGTCTGGCCAAGGCTCTCGTGGAGGGCAGAGGAGGCTTCTGGGAGCGGAGTTGGACGCTTGGGAGGGGAGTAATAGTTGCTGGACTCTAGGGTGGATCTATAGAACAGAGTAGAATAGAATAGAACGGAACGGAACAGAACAGAACGGAACAGAACAGAACAGAACAGAACAGAACAGAATAGAGGAATGGAATGGAATGGAATAGATAATAGGAATAGGAAAATAGAATAGAACAGAACAGAACAGAATAGAATAGAATAGAATAGAATAGAATGGAATGGAATGGGATGGGATGGGATGGAATGGAATGGAATGGAACGGAACAGAATAGAAATACAGAAATAGAATAGCATAGCATAGCATAGATAATGGAATAAAGAACAGAATAGAATAGAATAGAATAGAATAGAAATTAGAGTAGAATAGAATAGGGAATAGGAGAGGGGAAAAGAGGAAAGGAGAGGATGAACAGAACAGAACAGAACAGAATAGAATAGAATAGAATAGAATAGAATAGAATAGAATAGAATAG